GGGGCAGTGTCATATACAAATGATGATGATACAGTTAGGATGACCACACAATTTGTTATCCAAACTGGGATAATTTTGAGAGTAATAGGACGATAGGAATAATAGCATCAGGACAAAAGGTGTATACAGGACTGCCCCAGACAAACTGGAAGTATGATCACCCAGGTAACAGTGGTCAGTTTTGATTGAGCTCTGTCGGTCACTGTCCTACATTGCTGTCTATGTGTCGTTTCTTTGACCTACCCAATGACCCAGTAGGGGAGCAATGGTTATTATTTACTCTACACAGACAAAGACACTGTGGCAGACATGGAAGGGAACTTGCCCAACGCATCACAATTAGGGGAGTGGATGGGAGAGCAGGGACCAGAATGCAAGTCCTTTGAATACAGAGCTCTGGTTCTGGGCCATTAAACCCTATTGCCTCCGAGTGAAGATCTCAGGTCTTGGAATGGGACAGGATGAGATCCTATTCCCCGCTCAGCTTGCAGCAATTTTAGTTACCTCTCTGGTCTTGGTTTCTTCCTTTATAGAATGATGACTATGCGTATTTCCAGTAGCCCTAGATTAAGAGGGGTAAGGTCTGAGAAGATCAGGCATGGTGTGTGTGTTTAGGATGTACTTAGTAAGACAGCTGCCAATTTACTGTAGGCTCCACAAGGCATCTACACAAATAGCTGTGACACAAAGTAAAAAGTCAAAGGGCTATGACAGAGTATGGTGTAAGGTCAACCGAGGCCAAATTGCCTAATGGTTAAAAGTATGAGATTTTTCATAACACCCAGGTTCAAATTCAGGCTACCGTATTTGACCGTGTCAGATTTGAATAGACATTTCTCCAGATAAGATTTGCAAAAGGACACTGAGCACAAGAAAAGATGCTCGATGTCATTAGTCTTGAGGAGCATGCAAAAGAAAACTGTGATATCACTGAACACCCACGAGGACAGCTAAAGCAAAAAAGACACAAATATTGGCAAGACTATCTGGTAGAGAAACGGAAACCCTAGTACTTTGCAGGTGGGATTGTAAACCGGTACAGCCACTTTGGGAAAACACTTTGATAGTTTCTTAAAACTTTAAACATAGAGTTACCGTATGACCCAGTATTATACCTAGGAGAGAAATGGTATAATACTAAGAATTGAAAACTATGCCCACACAGTAACTGATACACCAGTGTCATAGCAGCATTGTTCATAATAGCCCCCAAATGGAAACAGCCTAAATGTCCATCAGCTGATGTGGTATCTTGATGCAATGGAATATTACTCAGCCCCCCCTCCCCCAAAAAAGACATGAAGTACAGGCACATGCTGTAACATGGAAGAACCTTAAAAATGTGATGATGAGAGAAAGAAGCTAGTTACAAAGGACCACACATTGTATGCTACCATCTATATGAAATGCAGTTTGCTTCCAAAATAGGCAAGTCCATATAGGCTGAAACTAGTTGAGTGGTTGCCGAGGTTGCCTTCTTGTAGAGATTGAATTGAATGGCATGGGAATTATATCTCAATAAAGCTGTTATTTAAAAAATTCAGGCTCTGCTGTTGGTGTTGGTCATTGACATTATCTTCTGTAAAATAGGGCAGGTGACAGACTGTAAGTTAAAGAGCAGGTGTGAGGCTTAAATGAGAGTTTGCATGTAAAATCTTGGCACAGCGACTGGTGTGGTAAATGGTCAATAATTGATAGTGACGATGATGATGTCGCTTAAACATAGGTCCTTTCTTTTGTCCATCCTGACGTCTATGGTCAGTGGTGCTTTCAGCGAAATAGTCTGGGGATGCACGATGACTTGTGATGTGTGAAGACTGACCCTTTCCCTAGCACTCTCAGATCGTATGTGCCTCTGATGGAATAGCCTTATGGCTCTGATATCTGTTATTTATTTCTTAACTAATATAACTGAGACCTTGCTCAAGATGTGCTCATGAAAAATTACCCTTTTAATGGTGGAGCATTTAATGAGAAACTGGATTATCTACTGCATAAGTGCCCTTCATACAAATTAGCTTGGCCCTGGGTCCTAATCTAAATTGGGCTCCCTACTTTCCTCTAAATGGCCTAATATTTTCTTATTAATCTCTGCCCTTGTTCACCTGATCTGGCTCTGTCTCCTTTTGAAGCGCCCTCCTTGGTAGAGCTCTGTGCTTTGATAAATGTTTCTTAAGGCTGTCTTTGTATCTGACTCATGGACAATTTGCGGGACATGATGTAGAGGCCGGAAGCTATTTGTTCCATTTTTTTTTTTAACATTTATTTATTTTTGAGACAGAGAGAGACAGAGCATGAACGGGGGAGGGGCAGAGAGAGAGGGAGACACAGAATCGGAAGCAGGCTCCAGGCTCCGAGCCATCAGCTCAGAGCCTGACGCGGGGCTCGATCTCACGGGCCGCGAGATCGTGACCTGAGCTGAAGTCGGACGCTTAAGTGACTGAGCCACCCAGGCGCCCCTGTTCCATTTTCAAGCTGTCTCTCCAGTGGAATTTTAATGATGCCAGTGTATTGGGTGTCAACAGATTTGGACCAGGTGAGTTTGTGTATAACATAAAGATGGGGAAGTAAGGTAGAGTGAGAAGCAGTTAATCATGGTGGTTAAGAGAACAGGCTTCAAGAACATAAGCAAACCATGAGCCTGGGCTTTGGCATCAGACATATCTGGATTCAGGTCCCACTGAGTGAGTTTGGACAAGTTACTTGGCCTCTTAGATGTTTCATTTAGATTCTCATTTACTAAACCTGGGTAAAAGCACATACCTCTAGGGTTACTTCTAAGGTTAAACAAGTTGGTGTATACAACGTGCTTTGTACAGAACATGATAAATACTACCTGGAATGGTTATTATAAGTAAAGCTTGGAGAAGTCCCTCATAGTAAAAGGGATTTGATTAGTGACTGAAATAATATCATGGGTTGAAAAGGCTGAGATGGTATTCGTGGTAGAGTAAGAAAACCTTCCCAAGAAACAGAGTAAGCCATAGGCCACTCCTACCCGACACCCCATGGTAATGCAAGGAGAGGTAACTTGTCGTACATGGCCCTGTTGTTTGGGTAGGTGTCTGCACAGGGTTTATCCTGGAAAATGTCCTCTTTGTTCTTAGCTTTAATCTCTGACAATCTACCCTCACAGAACCCTGGGCCTTAATTTTTACGTCAATTACAGATCATGGCTAATTATGCATATGTTATATCTGCTTTGTGGACTATAATTCAAAGGCTTTACTACTATACGAGGAGTCAGCAAGGGTACAGGGGGAAAAAGCACCAGCTGGAAATTAGGGGTCTGGTTCTGCAGACATTCCTTTGTGCCCTCCTTCCTTCAGCATTCTGTCTTCTCTTCTTCATTCACTGGGCTGGTAATAGTGGTGACAGCTGCCATTTTCTGAGCACTCACCATGTGAATCCATGCTTTGCACACACTGTCTCCTCTAAGTTACTATTTGCAATGAATCTGACGGTGGATATTTTATCCAACATCCGTCAGATGAGGAAACTGAAGCTCGGCAGACAGGTTAGTTGGCTTTCAAGTGAGAAAGCCCTACTTTGAAATGAGGATGGCCAAATAAAGCCGTACCTTCTTACACAACCGGCCCGATGCACATTTACGCATTTTTTATTTTCGGTCACCAAACTCTTGAGCATATAGGGGCACAGACTTAGTCTCATACATTTGTTGCAGTCACTGATAGCGTCTGGCACAGAGGAGATGCTCAGTAAGGGATGATTGAATCGATGAATGAAATGCAAGTTGTGTTTCTTTCAGTAGGAAAGCATTGTGCAGTGGTTAATCATTGCTATTGTTTTCTTCCCCCCTCTATTTTCAGCTGAAATAATTCTCAGCCCCACATTATGGAAAGGCCTTAGTTCGCACATCGTATAGATAGAGAGAAGTAGGCTGAGTTAGCTCTAATGTGCTCAGCTCAGAGTTTCTGACCAATGATGGAAGGCTTGATGGAGGAGGTATTGGAAGTTCAAGTTAATGATGTTCCAGGAGATGAATATCAGGAGACTAGGGTGCTCCAGGTTTTAAGAACCATATGTGCAATGCCCCATACTCTGATGAGTTATATGAAAGTTTGATGATATTAGAAATTTTAATTACGGTGTATTCATCTTTTTTTCTGACCATGTGAACTTGCACAAGCTCCTTGAATTTTATGACCTTCATCTTCATTGTCTACAAAATGGATATAGTTGAGTTTTTATGAAGAGTGGGGATAAAGTTTATAAAACATCTCCCATGAAGCACTCAGGTAGCAGTAACTTTACTGTCCTTATTTTATAAGGATGTATTTGAACTTCTGGTTGACACGTCTTAGCAAAATATTATGTTAGTAATTATTGAGAAGGGCTGTTGCGGGATATGGGCGCACCTTACCAAGTAGCCAATTTCTACACACACATGAGTTAGCAGAAGAGATATTGTAAAACCGTTTTTTTGATAATTGTCCCTGGGTCATTACTTGATACAAAGCAATTACTCTGGAATCTCACTATAAAACAGCCCATGGAATTGGGTGTAAGAGGGTCTTGGACCCTGGCCAAAGTCATATTAAATGCTGGAAATGCCAAAGAGGCTCAGTGCTAATACTCTTGTAACAAGAATGTCAGACATGAACTCAGTGGGTGATTATTACTTGTTGAGTACCTAGTGTGTATCAAACTCAGTACTGGGTGCTTTACACATGTTGTCTGATTTAATTATCTTAATGCCCCACTGGGGTTGGTTATTTGTAACTCTTTTTTTTTTTTTTTTTTTTCCCCTCTTGCCTGAGAAAACAGAGGCTCAGAGAGAAGTAATTTGCCTCTGGATTTAAAATGATAGAGCCAGACTTTGCATCCAGGAGAACTACCATTCTTTTCTACTTGGTCCAGTGATTTGACTTTCTCAGAACAGAAGTGAAACCAGAGACCGAATCTTGGCCCTGTGGATATTTAAAGACAGTGGGACCTGAATACTTACATGCCTGAATCATGCTTTTCTCTGTTCTCAGGTCAGGATCGCAGTGAAGCCACTTTGATAAAGAGGTTTAAAGGTGAAGGGGTCCGGTACAAGGCCAAACTGATCGGGATTGATGAGGTTTCTGCAGCTCGGGGAGACAAGTTATGTCAAGATTCCATGATGAAACTCAAGGTACCACACAGTTTACTTCCAATATTACGGACTGAGGGAAGGGGTGATTATGATCATTATGGTTAAACGTTTTACTTATTCATTTATTAGTAAACTACTTGTTTCACTGATGAATCACTGCATGTATTCATTGGGAAGAGATTTTAATCATTATGGAGCGACTGCTGGCAATTCTTTGCTGTGCCCAGTTTTGTAATTTCTGAGCATATCACCTTTTATTCAATTTTATCTTCATCGTGCAATGCCTGCAAAAATAAAAGTTAAATTGTCAAATTTTATAGTCCCTCAGATTTTATGAATCTTAAACCCTTTGTTATTTTTGAATACATTTTAAATATTTTACTGTATGATAGATAAATAGGTAAAAGATGTTCTGTTAAGATAACAGCTAATTTTACTCATTCTTATAATTTCTATTAATGTTGCCAAACACCCCATAAAAGAAACATATTTTTTAAAGTAATATGTAGTAAGATTTGGAGATTTTGAGATATCATAGAGAGGTTTCTGTTTATAAATGCTTTAAAGAAGGCTTTTTTTTTTTTAATTTTTTTTTCAACATTTATTTATTTTTGGGACAGAGAGAGACAGAGCATGAACGGGGGAGGGGCAGAGAGAGAGAGGGAGACACAGAACTGGAAACAGGCTCCAGGCTCTGAGTCATCAGCCCAGAGCCCAACGCAGGGCTCGAACTCACGGACCGCGAGATCGTGACCTGGCTGAAGTCGGACGCTTAACCGACTGCGCCACCCAGGCGCCCCTAAAGAAGGCTTTTTTATTGTGAAATCTAAGAAAGAAATTGGGGGAAATACACAAAATAAGAAAATTATGTGATTAAATGACCTTTAAAACATATGAAAAAGCATTTTTTGTTCCCATGTTCTGGTCTTCATACAGTCTATGTTTCATTCTTTTAAAAAGTGATTTACAATATTTGAAAAACAAATGATTTAGCAGGAAGTCTGCAAGATACTTGATGCATCTTGTACACGTAATTTAAGTATTTTCCTGATTGTAGAATTCACAAATGTTTATTGTAAAATATTTTGAAAATACAGACAAGTATAAAGAGAAAAATTGAAAACATCTATAATTCCACCACACAAAGAAAATCAGTGTGTAACTTACAATCTGTCTTTGTATTTTCACGTGTATTATATGAATTATAAACACGTAATACAATTGGAATTACTATTTATATAGTCTTACATTTTTTTTCATCTAATATTATATTATGATAATTTTTTAAATATCTTCAAATAGTTCCTCAGGACATAACTTTATACACACACACACACACACACACACACACACACACATAATATACATTTTTTTTTAAGTGTAAGAAAGAAGGAAGAAAAGAAAAATAATATACAAGATTGGCCAAGTGCCTCAAAGTACAAACTAGGGCAGTATCTGTAAAACACCCTCTCCATTGCCTTTTCTTTCCTATTTGCTTAACAAATCAGAACTATTATTTTTATTTATGTTATACAGTTTTTCTCTGCAGTTTAAGATGTATAACAGATGCTAAGTGCCCCTGTAGTATGGCTGTAGGAATCATCCTTTTTAAAAATCTTAATTTTCTAAAATATGTACCAGTTTCTTCTCTAGCTGTTACATAAGCAAGCTTTATTTTAATAGTTACATATCTATTATAAGGTATCCTAGAAAAAGATACTCAAATCATGATTTCATAGATGCTCACCTTGGGAAAGGTTAATGTTTATGTTTTCTTTTTTCTTTCTTTTTTTCTTCATAATTAAGCAACATTATGAGATTGTTAGGGCAGTCCAATAATGAGCTCTCTTCTTTTGCTTAGCTTAAATATTGTTGATAAGTAGAAAAAGAAGTCTGACAGGAGGGAGCACCTGGGTGACTCAGTGGGTTGAGCATCTGACTCTTGTTTGCTGCCCAGGTCATGATCTCCGGGTTCATGGGATGGAGCTCCACATCCGGGTCCAGGCTGTCAGTGTGGAGCCTGCTTGGGATTCTTTCTCAACCCCTCTCTCTACCACCACCCCACCTTTAAATAAATAAATATTAAAAAAAAAAAAAAAAAAAACAGGCAGTCTGACAGGAGGAATTCTAAATTGCAGCCTTATGAGTGATAAATGCCTCGAATGGCAGATGTGGCGTGGATTCGTAGCTACAGTGGACTTCCTTGAAAGAGATGAACTGTTCCGCTTAGTTTGTGGAGCATTTGGATAACTGTAGTCCTTCCTGTTCCCACCAACCCCCGTGCTGCACTAGAGCAGGACTTGAGACTCCTACGTGCAGTCACACTAGAGTGCCGCCCCTCTACCAGCAGGCAGATTACAGAGAGAGCACAGAAACGACTGAGCCCGGAGTCCTCAACTTCTCTCCAGACTCATGCCCGATAGAGCCCTGCCTTCCTTACCAGGGAGACCCTAGTCAGTGGTAGGGATGAAGGCCAGGATCTTCATTTTTGCTAAGTCCCCCCTTACTGACAAATGGAGATCTGCTTCTGACAAATGGTAATTAAAGGACAGGACGAAAATCTCCAGTGACCTGGTTCTCACCCAGAGCCACAAGTAAGTCTGCTGAGGAGCCGATGCTGCTTCTCCCAGCATCCTGGTAGATAGCCGTTCACCGGGCATCGGTCACAGAGAGCCTCGCTGGCCAGCTACCTTCATGGAAGCACTGAGGTCTAAGTGGCTTTGAGCAGGAGTCTGCCTGTGCTCCCTGAAGGTTCTCTGTGCGCATTAATGTTGGGCCAAGCTAGCTGGACCAGGCCTGGAGACGGCTGCTGACCTGGTGCATGTGCGTGTGTTACCTGCATGGAAGCGCCCCATCTGTCACCCCTTATAACTGCGAGGGCCCCAAAGCCCTGAGAATTTGTCCTGCCATAACAGGCTCCTGTCAGATGCGCTGAACTTATTGAGGAGTTCTTGGTTCCTAGACAATTGTGTTTCATTGTTTGCAAGTTGCCGCGAAGAATGCTGACGTTTCAGCTCCCAGTGGTTTTTCTTTAAGAAACAGAAACATAAATGATCGATTCTCCATTTGGCCAACTGCCCAGGAAAAAAGAGACAGAGAAGTACAAAATGCCTGTTAGCCTTGCAAAAGGACCCACTTGTTCTCATTAGGCAATATGGGGGAGTCTTTTTTCCTTTGCTAGACTGTTTGAGGCTGGTGCCGTTTTCTTGCTTTGGGGAGTTTTCTCTTATAAAGATTTTAGGGGGAATTCAAATTTCGACTCTGAGTAGGCCATCACTGGTTCTCCAGCAAAACACCACCATCATCCTGTTTTAATTTAGAGTCAACAAAAGCATTTCCCCGTATATTCTCTCTTTTGATCCTGTGAGGTAGATATTAGTCTCTTTGTTTTACACATAAGAAATCTGAGGTTCATAGATATGACGGGATTTGCCCTAGAACCTTCATTTAATCTGTGTTAAGGCCAGAATTCAACCTAGATCTCTGGATGCCCGTATTTTGTAAGACATCGTTTAGTGCTTAATTATACTCTGTTTTGTATCTGCAGTTAATTTACCTTGGTTCCCCAATGAGACTTTAAGCCCGTACCAGTAAGTTACTACCCACACATCATTGGTTTACAAAGTAGTCAACTTTCAGAGACGTCGGGCAAGACGGTGGTGGTTGAAACTCCGGAAGGGAATGCAGTCTCCCAGAAGCACTATCTACAGGGCTAATTACAGAGCTCTAAACATGTCACTTGGGGTCCTAATAAGAAGCAGAGCCCACCCTGGCTAGGTCAGATGAGGACACTTAATGCAAGAGGTACTTACAAAGGGTAGGTAAGGTTAAGTAAGGTAACAAGGGATGGTGAAGCTCCCAGAAACCTGCCACCGCACAAAGCTGTTTCCATACTAGGAAGAAATACATCTGCTGAAGCCCAGGGAGAGCCGGATGGAAGGGGAAATCCCCTCCCCCACCAAGCAAAAGTATAGTCACTGCCAGAGATGTAGCACAAGGAAGGAAAGGATGCGGGATGGAATACCCTGGCCTCTGTCTCCATCCAGACTCGGATCTCCTGCCCGTCTTGCATTGGTGGAACCCAGCTGGAAGCCAGAGTTTCAGAAAGCCCAGAGGACCAGGGGATGTAGTCCATAGGAGCCAGGCTCTGGGCACAGAGCAGAACAGAGGAGGATACTTAAATTCTACCCGCCACCCCCTCCCCCTTCCCTGGGAAAAATGAGACTTAAGGTGATTGTTTCCAAGGCTTGTGTAACTGATAACCGGGAAGGCCGAGATTGGAGACCAGCTTTTTTAAGTCACGGAATTTTCTGAAATAGCATCCCAGGTTTTCAGCCATTCGTGCCCGAGGTCCGTTGCATTTTCCTGCCTGCTTTCCAGGATGCATTGAGATCACAGCCATCCCGTTACGTGCAGGCGCCACCCTGGGTGAGGTTTCTCAGAGCCCCTTCCTGTGCTTCACCTTATCTTATCCCCACAGCAATCCTGGAGCTGGACAGGGCACTTAATCCTGCCTGGCATGCCTGACGCTTTGTGTGTGAATTCCTTCATGGAGATGCTGCCTGTGCGTGACTCCCTTAGGGATGCCAGTGTCGTCACGTCACACGGTGCCTTAGCACATGCTATTGCTTCATAATAGCAAGAGTCGTGCCAGTAATAATTATTTACTGAGCTCTCCCTACATGCAGCACACCGTGCTAAGTGCTGTATGTGCAAAATTATTTTTCAATATCTTAACACTCTCATAAGTTAAGAAATGGGATTATTTTCACGTGAAGTTCCCCTTCACTATTGAGTCTGGGAGCTGGTGGCTGCACCTGGTTGCTTGCAGAACACTTTTGACCTATCTGTGCTTTGTTGTGTAGTCTTTTTGTGTGTGTCTGTGTTTTCCAAAAAAGCTCTTTGAAAAGATTATTAACAGAAGGAACCCCAACACTGGAATCTGACAGATCACTGTTTGAATTTTCTCTGTCTTACTAGTTCCTTGAGGTTTAAGGCAATCACTTGAGCCCCCCTGGCCTTATGTTTCCTTATACGTAAAATAAGAGAGGTAATTTTTACTTCCCAGGATTATGGTATATGCTAAATGAGATGATGTGTAAGAGAACTTGTAGCACATACGGTAGGTACCCAAGAAAATGCTTGACTATATTTTCCAGATTTCCAACAGCAGCTTATTAAGTCCGGTGGCTAATGGGAGGCACAGTGCCCCAGACGGCACCTGCATCCACATCTTCTGACCCCCCAGTCCGAGCTGTCTCCCTGATCTCTGCTGGTTCTGCATACCACCAATGAATAATCTTGTCGGGAGATGAGACCCTGAGGCGTGCTCTCTGCTGGCAGACTTGCTTGGACTCAGTGCGGTTTTTCAGAGCTTGACTCAGGGTCCTGTCTCACAGGAAAAGCATGCTTGATAAAATCGTAGCTTTATTTCCCCATAGACAGCACTGCATGGATAGTCCTTCCCTCCTTCATTTGTCATGTAAAGCTACCACCAGCAGCCCCAAGCATAAATGCTTCCGGAACATGTGTGTTTGCTCTTTCCATCCTTTTTTTTTTTTTAATCTACAGCTCTGTTCTACTAGGGAGTTCTTTGATGGCTGTGAGGAACCAGGAAGCAAAGGGGGGTGGGGCATGATATAGTCACTACTGTGTGCCAGGAATTATTGCTATTGGATGTCACAGTAGTTCTGAGAGCTAAGGACTATTAAATAGGACTATTTTGGAGATGGAAACATTGAAGCTATTCCTCTTGATCAAAGGTGCTACCCTCTCTCCACCATGGGCTGTGATGTTCTCACCTAAGAGGAGTTAACCAAGAAGGAAAGGCTCTCCCCTCCCCTCTGATGGTGTCCTTCCAGTCCTTCCATTTACGATTTATTGTTTTTCTTTTGTGTGTGTCCGGCTATCTGAGGTTGGAGGTTCAGCTGCAGAGGGGTGGCAGCGTAAGTTAGTTTATTCCAAAGCCAGGCAAGAACACAGCATTCAAAGTATGGCATTAGAAATAAGAATTACCACTGGGGCTACAAAAACATACTTTGGGGGTGCCTGGGTGGATCAGTCAGTTAAGTGTCTGAGTCCTGATATCAGCTCAGGTCATGATCTCATCACGGTTTGTGCATTCAATCCCTGCATCGGGCTCTGTGCTGACAGCATGGAGCTTGCTTGGGATTCTCTCTCTCTCCTTCTCTCCCTGCCCCTCCTCTGCTCATTCTCTCTCCCTCTCTCTTTCTGTCTCAAAATAAATAAACTTTTAAAACATGTACTTTGGCTAATCCCCCCATGTTCCTTAAAATCATCCCTCAGTGAATTCACAGGAAAGCAAGCTGCACACTGAGCACTCTAGAAACCTCTAACTAGGCAGGGCAGTTTTAGAGACAGAGGACTTGGCTTTGGGGGTGAGTCCCTCCCTTTAACTATTTCAAGGGCAGGCATTGACGGAGGGATCTTGGGTCAATGTGCTGCAGCCCGGAGGGGCTGAAGGAGCAACGCTGGGGTGGGTTACAGCGAGAGATTGTGGCTTGCTAGAAAGAAGACACCACATAGAGGAACAAGTGCTCCCTGTACCAGGAGTCTAGTCTGGAGAGCTGAGTTGTAGTCCCAGCTCTCTGCCAGCCCCTTATACCACCCCAGCACTGCCCATCCCTGCCTCCCAGCCATGATTTTCCTCATCTTTCAGCTGGAAACATTAAGATTTTCTCCAGCTCTTACATTCTATACCTCTGCAAGTGTGTACATGGTGCTCGAGAACAAGTAGGTGACTCGGCGGGGGGGGCCGGGGGGGGGTGAATTTCCTACTAGTAGGTCCCCAAACAGGAACTGGACCACAGAGTGTGAGGGACAGTCATCCATTTACAAAAAGAAGTAAATTTTCATGACCTCCCTGCATTATTCCAAGCACCGTGCTACATACTTGTCACGAATTTTCAATTCTCTCAACCATGCAAGGATAACGTTTACACTTGAGGAAGTAGAAGTGAGAATTAAGTACTTTGTCCAAGATCGCAGAAAGCCAGAAGCATAACCCAGATATTCAGATGGCACAGAATATTTCCAGTGCCCACACTGAGGATAACTGAGCAGCCTCAAGGGGACACCTGGTCGCCGTGCCTCATGGTCACCCTTGTTACTAACGCCACAGGTTCCCTCACTGAGGTTCTGGATGTGCTGTTCTGACTGCAGCACAAACGACTTTTACCTCCTGGAAACATGAAATCATCATTATTTAGACTTTTCTACTCCTAAAAACCCAGAACTAGAACTGCTGATAGTTGGCCTTAAACTTATAATCAGTGCAAGCTAATAGTGATGAAGGGGCCTGAAGCTTCAAAACACCTAATGCAGGGCTAGGAACTGCCCCACCCCAAGTGTAAATCCCTTGAAATGTACTTACCTTCTGTACTTACCATCATAGCACATAACTATGATGATCATCTATTTCTAAACAAAAATGAGACGTGCAGTCTGGCAATGGGTTTTATTTTCTTGTATTTTCTTTCTGATCTCTAAAATTGTTTCCTATGAAAACTTTTCCCAGAAGTAAAAAAAAAAATAAAATCACATTTAAGAATATATTCTGTGACTCATCTTTATTTAAAAGATTAAAACCAGGGGCACCTGGGTGGCTCAGTCGGTTAAACGTCTGACTTCCGCTCAGGTCATGATCTCGAGGTTGGTGAATTCAAGCATCGCTTCGGGCTCCCTGCTGATAGCTCAGAGCCTGAAGCCTGCTATGGATTCTGTGTCTCCTGCTCTCTCTGCCCCTCCCCAGCTTGTGTTCTGTCTCTCTCAAAAATAAATAAACATTAAGAAAAATAAATTAAAAGATTAAAACCATATCCAATATGAAGCCCAGCAAAATAGTATTAATAGCAGGATCATATTGTGTTTATCCTGGGGTTTTGAATTCTGAGCCAAATATCCACGCATAAAGCAGGCATCCTATAAATCGTGGGTAGTGTAGTGAAGCGGTGTTCAGGTATGTGTTTATCCAATGTTAGATATCATGTTAGGGTAAGTATTACAATAAAACATCAAGAAAGGGCAAGCACATTGGGCAGGGAAGCATGGAAGGGGCGAAGGGAGAGGAGCGTGCATGATTGGTGGCATCGGTTGATGGTATCTGACATGCCTTTGGGACCAGAGGGAATCTTCAAATGAAAACACTCAAGTAAAAACCATGTCCTTCCTTTCACCAGGGCGTTGTTGCTGGCGCACGTTCCAAAGGAGAACACAAACAGAAAATCTTTTTAACCATCTCCTTTGGAGGTATCAAAATCTTTGATGAGAAGACAGGGGTAAGTAAAAGAATCACGTGGCATTGCAAAATTGAATCCAATGAGAGATGTGCCCTTAAAAGCCTCTACTCGGTGGGCAAGAATATCAAACAAGCATAAAAACACATAAAGCGACTGACAAACTTGATCAACTGTGATCGTCCATCAAAGGGAGGCTCTTCCCTGACTTGGCCTCAGTGTGACTGCACAATGTTTCTTACGGTGTGATTGCGATAAAAGTGTCACACAGTCCTGGTAATCTAATGGGAGATTGATGGGCTTTGAAGAGTGGTGGGTAATGTGACAGTTTACATTAAATTTCTGTGTATGTTGGCAACGTTAATGACATGCATCCTAGAGGGAGACCCGTGAGCGTCTTTTGACTTGGTCAAAGCATCCAGACTCTCCCGAGTGTAACCTGTGCCACCCTGCAATTGCTGTAATCAAAATGAACGAGTTCTCAGTCTTAGACAAATCTGTCACTGCGTGACCAGGAAATGTAAGGGCTGATAGGTCTGTTGAACCTACCAAAGAGGCTGTGTGTGTTTCCGTCAGCCCCCAGCAGCAGTCAGCTCCCACATTCATCCCCAGGGCTTCCCTGACGTTGGTGGTCCTTGTTCATTGGCAGTAAGAGAAAAACAAAAATGTTCTAGGATCTGTTTTGTCCAGAGGGCAAGAGTCTAAGTGACGTGGTTTTTTCCTTTATTCATTCAGCACTCTACAGCTTATGAAACACCTTTACATAGATCACCTCCTTTGCATTTCACTCGTTCATTTTCAAGCATCGTATAAACCAAACTCGACCAGGCACGTTACTTTGCCTGAGTCACTTTGCGTTATCCTTTCCTCCCCTTCGTCCTGACTCCTATTAGGATGCCATAGGGTGGGAGGAGGATAATTCAACAGTAAAAATGGGTTTTGAAGACAAGTTACTTCTGAATAATTCGCAGTAGGACAGATATTTGTACACCCATGTTCATAGCAGCATCATTCACAGCAGCCAAAAGGAAGAAGCCACCCCAGTGTCCATGGGCAGATGAACGGACATAGAATGTGGTGCATGCATCCAATGGAATGCTATCCTGCAGGAAGAAGCAAGCAGGTTCTCACACCTGCCAGTATATGAATGAAATTTGAAGACATAATACAAAGGGAATTAAGCCTTATTAATAGCAGGGTCATGTTGCGTTTATCTTGGGGTCTTGAATTCTAAGCCAAACATCGAGGCAGAAAGTAGGCATTTTCTCAAAGATACCACTTATATCGACATATCTAGAGAAATGAAATTCATAGAGACAGAAAGGAGATTGGTGGTTGTTAGGGCCTACAAGGAGGGCGGTACGCAGTGAAGAGTCAGTGTTTGGCAAGTACAGAGTTACAGTTTAGGAAGAAGGAAATGGTGCTTGTGACGGATGGCTGGGGTGGCCGCACAACAGTGCGAATGTACTTTATGCCACTGAACTGTACCCCGAGAAGTGCTTATCATGGCAAATCTTTAGTATAAAAAATCACTAGTGATACTAAGTCCCCTCTTCGGGTTGCCTACTGTATACTAAGCTCATATGAGTCACTTGACATACATTATTCAGTTTTGCCCTCACAGCAGTATTATGGGAAAATGATAATAGCTACTTCACCGAGCACATAATATGTGCCAGGCATTGTTGTAAGCCCTTGGTAAGTAACAACTCATTTAATCCTCACGAAGTCCCCATTGTTCTCTGTTTCGTACTCGAAGATATAGAGGAGAGAAAAGTGTTGAGTAATTTATTGACAGTAAGTGTTGGAGGAGACAAGATTAGACCTCAAGTAGTCTGGCGCACGAGTCTTTTCACTTAGCCTCTATACCTGTTATCTCTCAGAATAAGTGACTTTCCCAAGTTACCCAGCCTATAGGAGGCAGAAGTGGGATTTAGCCTCCTGTTGGCCCCAGTCAATATCAGGGCAGTTGACCTCTGTATTAAAGAGAAAGGTGGGCTTACCTGGGGAGGTGCCTTGGGAGAAGGGAGTTTAGAATGAGGGCACAAGCACAGGTAGTAAAGGAGCTTGAATGCAGCAAGATTAAGAACCTAATGAAAGCCTCTCCTGCCTTAATAAGAGGATGACTTCTGTAACCAGGGAAGCTTTTCCTTCTCCTGGGTAGACTATAGTTTGGAGACCTGTGCTCAGGTTTGAACTTCACACTTGAAAAAGGACATAGGCAAATCAAGGAGTGCAGGCAAGTGTGGAGTGAAGTAAGCCGGACAGAGGGCAGCTAAGACAATTGGAGGACTAGAAAATATGTTGAGCAAAGACTTCTCAACACAGGTGTAGCCTCATGGGATCCCGGGTGACACGCAGGAGTCAGAGAGCTACAGGCTTGTAGAAACTTGTAAGATGTCATTGATCCCTTAGCATCTTTATTGGAGGGAGACAAGTCATGTGAGTCAAGCCTCACCGAGAGATTTCTATGTCCTAATAGTACGTCATCATCTCTAGTCTTTTCCCAATATCCCGTCTGCCTGCTACCATGACAGCTGGTATAACCAAAAGGGCAGGAGTGAGGCAGAGTATCAGATAATTCATCTCGTCCAGGGGCCATATTTTAGGGCATTGCTGTTACATCATGTCCCCCACCATCATATAAGCTGTGCCCAGATCGTTAACATCCCAATCACCAAATTTTAACTAGTGAGGAGAGGTAGTTTATATTCTTGACCTGGATGTAAATCCTCAGTCAAGGGTGGCTAAACTGGCCCCAAAGAAAGAGATCACCAAACTCTGTAATGCTATTTTTGATTCTTCAGCTGGATCCCAATCCTCATATGAGTATGTTCAGTGAAATCATTATTTCAGCTCAAAGCCATTTGACTTTGTGGAAGAATGTCAGATCCCTGTTGGAGAATCAGGGGGAAGGCAGAGCTAAATGTTTTCTGTCTGGCTTACTTCACTCCAGTCCTGTTTGATCCACATTAGGCTCCTATAGCCTCTGGCTTCTGCAAACTTGTTAATAAACCTCCACACAAGTCTAGGGAAAACGAGTAGAAAGGACTGAACATGTTAAAGCCTGAAGCACAGACAGTAGGGATCAGGACACCCCATATTAATAGTGCTCATCTCTCTAAAGAGCTGTGTAATAGAAGAAGGAGCTGACTTGTTTTGTGTGACCCAATAAATAGAACCAAGATCTATAGAAGTTTCAATGAAGCAATTTTGATTTCTGAGAAAGAAGAGTTTTCTACCAGTCAGTTAGATGGACCACCTTCTGTGCTGGTGGTCCAGATGGTGAGTTCACCATCACTAAGGGGGTGTTCAAGCAACAACCATAAGATGGAGAAATTGTCAAGCAGAGGATGAACCATTGAACAGAGTCACATCTAAGTTGAATCCTGAGACTAGTTTCAAAATTCTGTTTCTTGGGGCGCTTGGGTGGCTCAGTCAGTTGAGCTTCTGACTCTTGATTTCAGCTCAGGTCATGATCCCAGGGTCCTGAGATCAAGCCCTTGGGCCCGTAGCCCATGTTCAGTGTGGAGCCTGATGAAGATTCTCATTCTCATTCTCTCCGCCTCTCCCCTCCCCCCTCCCTCTGCTCCTCTCCCCGCTGGCGCTTGCTCTTTCTCTTCTCTCAGAAGAAAAAAAAATTCTGTTTCTTCCTTAAAGTCATCCCTGTCGATGTAATTTATCTTCAGATAAATGGAGGTTTTTCAAAGTCCATTGGAGATATGAGCAGGAACAGTTTACTAAACCTCTGTTGCTGCCCAGCATGGGACCAACTGAATTGTGCAGGATAAGAGTTTAAATGAAGTATTTTGTCCTACATATCAACGAAATGGAAAACTGGGTTTTTGTCATTTGGAATGACAAATTTTCGTTGTTTATCATATCTAAAGTATTCCTGCTCAAGCTGACGGCATTTTTTTTTTCAAACCAAAAAAAGAAACATTTGCAGAACGTGACAATAGCTAGAATTTTAAAATCCAAAAGCTGTCAAAAATGTTTTGATCCCAATTAAAGAGACCCTTTCAGCAATTTACACCTTGTCTTGAATTTCAAAGGGTTCTTGATCCCAATCCGTATATGAGTATGTTCTGTTTTATTATTAGCACGTTGCAGGGAATAAATCAATATTGAAAAGCTGTTCATATTTTCAGATCTCTAGGTATTGATAATGTGTCAGAGGATCAGTGAGAACGCAGGAAACGCCGTATATAAACTCATTGTTATTGGTAACAGTAGAAACGGTAGCAATCAGGAGTAGAAGTGGTTTCATGTCAGCATTACTAGGTTCTCAAATCAGACCAGTGAATACGAAGGCAGGGGCGATGTCACCTCCATTTCACAGATAACGAAACAGATTTGGGGAGTGTCTCTGACTTGGCTGTGGACTCCGAACAAACCTTCCCACCTCAGATCTTTCTTTCCAGAGAAACTCATGGACTCTCTCTCCTGATTCCATAGAGATCCCATAGTTTTATTCCATAGAATTATTATAATTTTATGCCATAAAAAAATCATAAATATTGCAGGACCCCGACAATACATCTGTTTCTCAAAAGAAAGGGCGGTCATCTGCATCAGCTTTTCAAGATGATGTAACATCGTGTTGCCATAACCACGTGCGAATTTTGCTTGTTCATTTGATTTAGCCCACACTCGGCACTGTTACGTGTGCCATTTGAGGTACATTACGGTAATTCTGTGAAGTAGGTGCCCTTATTATCGCCATTTTTCAGTTGAGAAAACTGAGATCCAAATTCAGCCGCACAGTAAATAAGTAGCAGAGCTGATATTCAAACCTAGGTGGTCTGGTCCAGAATCCTTGATGCCGGTAAGATAGCACGAATGATAGCATACCTGCCTTTGTCTGGGCTGCTAAAACAAAAATACCATAAAGGAGGTGGCTTGTAAATAGCAAACATTTATTTTGCATGGTTCTGGAGGCTGGGAGCCCAATATGACGGCCCCAACAAATTCAGCGTCTGGGGAGAGCCCATTTCCTCAGAGATGGGGCCTTTTCGCTGCATGTCCTTACATGGTGGAAG